GCTTTAGGCCTCCACATGCACATACACTCACATATGTCCACACACATGTGCACACACTCACGACATAAACACAAATGGAATACTAAAAGATAAAATGACATGGTATTTGCACATAATATTGCAGCCATCAGTAGACTAAACCATCTCCAGATCACTCTAATACACTACAGGGTGGATATGACATGGAGTGTTGGCAAGCTGCATCATTTGGAAGGCTATATGCTCAGTACACATGCAGATTAAAACATTGTTTCCTCAGTTGAATTCACAAATTCAAGATTAATAGCTATGGAGGGAAAGCAGTCAAGACAGACAAGTGCACATGGGGACAGTCATCAAGGCCCACTTCTAAATGGCCTAGCACCAGAACGTTCATCCTCAGCTCGCACTGTGAGTCCATGAAAGATGGGCTGGGGTACTCTGCTCAGCAGATTCACCACTGTCCTAAGCACTGCCCTGCTGGACAGACAGAGCCCTGTCTCAGTCTAGCTTTAATGCTTTGTCCCAGAAATGATACATTGCCCCTCTACTCACACTCTGATCACACTGTGACCCAACCTGAGGGAACCAGGAAGTGCCAACACCCAGAAAATGGGGATCCAGACATCTTTGTTGAGCAGCACAGATGATTAGCAGCCTCCAAAAAGGTAATCTTGTCATTTCATAGAGGGCCTGAAGACATGTGTTCACGGCAAGGCATAGTGGTGAACAGCCGTAACATACCTATGGTCACAGTACTTGGGAGGTAGAGGCAGGGGGATAAGGAGTTCTCTGTAGTCAACCTGGGTTATGTGAGTTGGAAACCAGCATGGGCTACTTGAGACCCTGTTTCAAATAAACAAAGCAAAACAAAAAGTTGTTCAGGAGCAGAGGGTAAATGGGTTTGTGCTCTGCAGAAAAGTGAGAAAGCTGCTTCAAGGCTATAGTTTTTATTTTCTAATGTAATGAGGTTGGACAGCACATGCCATTAAATGTAGTAGTTAAAAGCCTGGAATCTGGGCATCCTATAAGACCTTCTTTGCCACTTATTAGCTGTATGAGCTGACGGGGGAGACCACATGCACAGATGGGAGAACAGAGGTAGGATGTGTTTTTTAGAATGGGAGATGTGGATCTGGACAGGGGTTACCTAAACATGACCGGGAGGAAGGAAGGATGTATGCAAAGCCTGCCCAGCAGTTGAAGGGCCTGGGCACAGTGGGGGACATGTGAGCTTATTCCTCAGAAACTGTTGCCTTCCTTTGGGCCAGTGGGAATGCTTAGGCTGCTGGGGACAGAAACCACATGCAGCTGGTTATTAGCTCAGGGAAGGGACTGTCCAGGGCCCTGTGGGTCTGGAGTCCTCCCAGAGCAGTGTGCTGATGTCACCAACGAGCCAAGATCTTTTGGTTTCTTGGTTCTCTGTCTTGATGGCTTCCATCTCTTATGGGCGAAGCACCAATGACCACAGAGTGTGTTGGCTTCCAAGAGATGCTCAGTTAGAGCAAAGAAAGTCACTTTTGCTCCTTTAGCCAATAACCTTTTTGGCCAAGCCTCTCAGGCTCCAGCCTGCTTTGGTTTCTGTGGGGACAGAGCTCTTGAGTAGAAATCCTAGCTGCTTTAAGCAGAAAGGTAGAGGATGTTAGAAGCCCACAGAGGCACTGGGGGAGGGGGAGAACTTTCCATCAAGCATCCAAGAAAATTGTCTTAAACCACACAGTATGCTGATTTCATGAACTCACCACCACTGAAAGGTGGGTGAGTATCTGTCACCTCAATGTGCTGGGTGTCAGGGACTTGCGCTGGCTGCTCTCACTTTTACCAGAATCAGGGCCACTGCTTTGCCAACACTCACAGCAACAGAGTACAGGCTCACATTGGAGTCGAGAATCCTGTGAGAACACAGGCTGACAGGAGATATCGTGTCCCTTGACCTAGTATCGATGGAGGCTGACTCTGGCATGCCAGGACATTTCCTTATCTATAGATGTGAGGGCTGCTAATTACAACCTTCCCATCTTTGTGATTCCTTTTAACTGACAGCCTAGAATCACACACACACACACACACACACACACACACACACACACACACACGAATCCTAATGAGGACTTGTCTACATCAGGTTGTCCTGTGGGCATGTCTGTGGGGGATGGTCTTGGCTGTAAATTGAGGTAGGAAGACCCACCCTGAAGGAGGGCAGCACCATTTCCTGGACTAGACCTGGACCATCCAGGAGTGGAGAAAACTAGCTGAACATAAATAGGGGGGCAGCTAAGGTGCACCCACTTTTCTGTTGACGGTGGAGGCGACGTGACTAGAGTAGGTTCCTACCCTTAACTTCCCCAACAATGATGAACTCTAGCCTGGAACTCTAACCCAAATAAACTCCTCCTTGTGTTGCTTTTTGTCAGGGTATTTTTTATCTCAGAAACATAAGTGGAATTAGGACACTACCCTTGATCAAATTCCTGAGCAAAGATGGAGGACTCTACAATGATAAGACTGGGTTGGCCAACAAGGAAGAACAGATCTGCATCTGTAGGCCTTAGTGATTCAGTGCAGTCACCTTTCCAGTGTCTTAGTTACGGTTTCTATTGCTGTGAAGAGACACCATGACCATGGCCAACTATTACAAAGGAAAAACTTCTAATGGGCTGGCTTACAGTTTCAGAGGTTTAGTCTGTTATCATCATGGTGTGGCATGATGACATGCAGGCAGAATGGTACCAGAGAAGGAGCTGAGAGTCCTACATCTTGACCTACAAGCAACAGGAGGCGAACTGATACTGGGTGTAGCTTGAGCATAGGAGCCCTCAAATCTGCCCCTACAGTGACACTTCCTCCAACAATGCATACCTACTCCAACAAAGCCACACCCTCCTAACAGTGCCATTCTTTGGGTTTATGGGGGTCCAATTACATTCATATTATCATAACATGTACAGGTCTTTGTGGTTGATGCTTTGAAGTAGGGTCTGGCTAAGTAGCTCAAGTTGGCTTGGTACTCAAAATGCTTCTTGTCTCAGACTCTCCAGCTAGTGTATCACCATGCCTGGTCACATACATGACTTAGGATATTTCCACAGGCCCCAGCGTACCCTCTTTTCCCAGCTACCCACACTATTTATTTCTTGCTGATCCAAGTTGTCCCTGTCTCTAGAGTGCTATCTTCTTTCTACCTTGCCTACTATAGAGGTTTGAGTGAGATTGGCCCCCACAGGCTCATATACTTGCAATCTTGGACCCCAGTTAGTGAACTGTGTGGAAGGATTAGGGGATGTGTCCTTGTTGGAGGAGGTGTGTCACTGAGAGTGTGCTTTGAGGTTTAAAAGCCTAGTGTTGCTCTCTCTGACCCCTACCCTGCTATCAGGATGTAAACCTCTTAGCTACTTCTCCAGCACCATACCTACCTGCCTACTGCCATGCTCCTTGCCATGATGATAATGGAGCAGTCTTCTAAACTGTAAGCCAGCCTCCAATTAAATGCTTTCTTTTATAAAAGTAGTCTAGGTTATGGTGTCTCTTCACAGAAATAGAACATTTACTGAGACACTATCTCTGGTGTATACTTAAGAACTCATTTCAATCAGGTTTTTCCCATATCCTTCAAGCTATTAAAGAAAACTTTTGTGTATATGTATGGTGTATATGGTGTGTGTGTGTGTGTGTTAGAGAGAGAGAGGGGAAAGAGGGGAGAAGGAGGAGGGAGAAGAGGGGTGCCATAGCATGTATGTGTAGTCCAGAGGACAATATCAGGTGTTCACTTGACACAGGGTCTCTTAGTTGTTTGCCCAAGTGTACCAGGATAACTGGTTCTTGAGTTTCCAGACATTTATCTGTCGCTCCCTTCCCTCCAGCTATAACAGCATTGGGATAATAAATGTGTGCTACCATGCCAGACTTTCTGTGGGTTCTGAAGATCTAAATGCTAGACCTCATGCTGGCACACACAAAAGCTTTAACCGTTTAGCCATCCCCCAAACCCTTTTTAGAGAGCTCACTTGTTCTTACTGATTCCTAGCTTCCTCCATTTAACAGAAGAACATGAAATGATGGCCTTGCTCATAGTTTTTAACACAATACTTGACAGTTAGTGCTTAGATGTTTTCACCGGTGCAGTAACCACACTCTATTACTGGCATTTATGAAGTCCCCCATATATCCAAAGACATTTTGATACTTTCCATCCTCAATTATACCACATACTATGTAATATACCTTGACCCTTTATGGATGGACAATTTGAGCCAGGTAGTGGTGACATATGCCTTTAATGTCAGCACTTGGGAGGCAGAGGCTGGTGGATCTCTGTGAGTTCAAGCCAGGATGGTCTATACAACAAGTTTCAGGACATCCAGGGCTACATAGAGAAATCCTGTCTCAAAAAACAAAAACAAGACCACATTCCATTTTAGTAGTCGTACACTGATACCCTTTAGGATGTTGCTATCCTACCCCATCTGAGGGTCACTTCTGTTTCAAGCTGTTGCCATTGGTGGAAACTTGGAACAGCTTCAGCTTTTATAAATCTTTCTCTTTGTTCATGATGTCACAAGCGTTAACCCCAAATCCCACTAGAATTTTGTTAACAAGTTTCAGATTTATTTATCTTTCCTTTGCCCTTGTTTTCTGTTGTTGTTGCTGTTGTTTGTGGCTGTTTTCCCCACAATGAAGTGACTAACAGAGTTCTTTAAAAATGGCTGGTAGATTTTCCTGTATAAGGAGGAAGTCTTTAAAAAATCCTGTGCTCCTTATAGGACAGTTGGAAAGTTGGGAAGAGAGAGCTTTGGAGAGGGCACAGTCCCCTTTCATACTATACTATGGATCCAAGGACAACCTGGGCTACAGAGACCATCATACTATAGAGTGGATTCAAGGACAACCTGGGCTACAGAGACCATCATACTATAGAGTGGATTCAAGGACAACCTGGGCTACAGAGACCATCATACTATAGA